ACGCCTTCGGCACTCCCTCACCGCACCTCATCCTCTGCACATCCCATGCCACCAGCACTCAATTTTTGCCCACTTTGGCACATTCAGCACCATTAACGACACAACAACCTTCCCAATTCCACATTCTTCTTGTCTTACTGGACACAAGGCGACGCGATCCATTCGTCCACTCTGAAGGCATGAGGTCACAGTGTGAGAGGTTGGCCAGCGCAGCAGTAGAACCACGCAGACAGTCGACGACTGACGACGCCTCAGCGCAAGTTAGTTGGACCATTTCAGCATCGTCGAATGTGCAACAACGCCTCCAACACCAGCTATCAAAAGCCCGTCCTTCACTTGTGCCTTGACCGCGTTTGGCTGTCTGTCTGCTCTGTGCTCCTCTGCTTTTGTGGTGATTGGTGATGAGTGCAGCAACTGCCATTTGCAGTTCTCGGAGCATTTGCTCCACAACGTGTACCATCTTTCCGTTCCATCGGTAAATGAAGGGCACAGCCAAAATGCTGTCCACTTGCATGGTACCGCAGGGTGCACACTTACTCAACTACTAGTCCGTTAAATTGTGCTGCTTTGAGTAGCAAAGTAGTTTCCCCCACCACCTCCCACCAACACCGTCTTTCTCAATCACTTTGACTACTTCAACGCATTTGTGCTTATGCTGATTAATAATGTGCATCTGCCATGGCATACCTCTTCAACAACTTCCTCTTCGTACTTTCATCCAACACAGCCTGAGGCACCTCCACTGCACTGCTTCTTCTTCTTCTCTGCCCTGTTTGGCACTCTTTTCGCACCTAGACTCATCACTTTCATCGGACAGTGAGGTGGCCAGTAGGTCTTCCTCTCCCCTCCTCCAATCCGCTGCCTCCAGTTTGACTAGTCAGTAGTGAACGTCACATTAGAAATACCACTGTGGTTACTTTCACTTTGGCAAACTTGCTTTGCTGTAAAACGGACTTCACTTTCTCCATCCCTTCCAATGTAGCCACGCTGACTGCTTCTGGTAAGTTGATTCAGTGCTTCCTGTCTTCACTGGCACTTCTCACTGTCCACTCCGACTCAACCAGCCTCTCTCCCCACTTCCATTGCACAGGTTCTGCCACCATCCACGCCCACCACAGTATGACCCTCCTTTCCTTTCCTTTCCTCTTTACTGCAATGCATGACTGATGCACCTTGCATAAATGATTGCCTCTTCCCTTCCTCATCCTCACCCTCCTCCTTCAGTCATCATGGCGTCACTTTGCATTCTGATGGCGTTGTGAATACAACCGTGCGAAGAATGGAGAAACGAAACGTCCTCATGAACACGTTGCATTCACTTTTGCCTAAATTCTGCACTCGTTTCCCCACGTTGTCCACAATTTCCCTTCCAAAGTTAATTGCGGCCCTGAAGTGCATTCCTTTCTGAAGTTGGGATTACGGTGCGTCGCTTCGGTCGTATCTGCAATGCCGCTAAAGGCCGCAATCAAAGAGAGAACAAAGTTGTCTAGCAACCTCGGTCAACCGCCGGTTAGTTGAGGATGGAAAGGGGAAGGGAGCGGGGGAAGGGGAGAGAGGGAGTAAGTGGGCATTTCGCGCCACGTTCAAGTGATTGCTACCTTTCGGCCATCTGAGTTGACTGAGCGGAAGTAAGGGAGCGAGGGGGCGTGCGTTGTCGACCCTGTGCTGTCGTCCTCCGCATCCGCTCCTAACCATTGCTCCTCAACAACAGCCACCCATTGTTCCCGCGTGGGAACACTAAAATAGTCTCTCGTTGGAGATGCAAAACGACTATCTGGCTTTCGACGTCACCATCTCCATTCAACAACGCATGTCATGCATCCACATGTCCACAGCCTACCCTCCACAACCTCCTTCGCTGATCTCACGACCGCTTTTTCCAGCACGTAGTATAATCTTGTAGCCTTTGGCATCCACTCCCTTCTGCCTCTGCAGGGACTACTTCGCAATTGCCAAATGAGAAAATGACGTACCATGTTCTTCTAGGCAGTAAATACTGTGTCGTCTTGTAAGCTTTGGCGAATTCATCAGCGCTGTTTGTGCTCACCTGCTCTATTTCCTCTTCCAACCCTTCTACACCACACTCACGCCTTCTCCGTGTCAATTGGAGCGCCTTATCGAAGCACTTGCACCTCCAATCACCACTGTCACATCATGAGCGAATCGAGTTGCCAATCACAGCATCACAACGGTCTACAACGATGGCAATCCTTTCAACATAGCGACAATGAAACACACACCAGCTTCCTAGGGTTCTACCATGAGCCATTTAGCAAATGCAAATCAACTTGTCTGCATCCCAAAGGAAAAGACAATTATCTATGGCGCAAAGACGATGCATACATTAGATGAGGGCGAAAATTCCA